GCATGCATGCACGCACGTTTGTACATCTGCGTACAACTATGTACACACACGTCTGTATATGTCTATGTATATGTATACACATGTTCATATGCGTACACGTGCATTGGAGAGATTTGAACAGCTACTTACTTCCATATGCTTTAAACATGATGCTCAGAAAAAGTTTCTGCAATTAACATAGCAATGACCATGTATGAACAAGACCATATGTATCTCAACAATGAAGCATTTGCGAAGGAGAGAATTGCGCATCTATATCTTTTTGTATAGGTGTGTCTATATATATGTATATATATGAGGATGCATATATTTGTATCACCTACGTCATGCATACCTACACGGATGGGCCTGGGCGTCCGACGCGGCGCCCCGTGCCCATGGAGCAAAGGCCCCTGCAAGGCTGCTGTAGTCCAGCGGCCCCGCATCCAGCCAGTCGGTGAACATGGCTTCACCATTCAGGATTTACCGTTTGCGGTTTAGGGTTTAGGGTTTAGGGTTTTAGGGTTTAGGGTCTTGGGTTGAGGGTGTGGGTGGTTGAGCTCCATCCTTCGGTTTTGGAGTGGTCATCAGGAGTGATCAGGACCGCTGCCACAAGCGTCTATCCAGGAGCGATCACTCAGGACCATAACCCCATCAACAGATTACACCTCCACGCAAATTCTAGCTGAAAAAAGGCTGCAAGATTCTCCCCCGAATATCTCCCTGCTCTTCAGACGTCCAGCAGCAGGCCTGCATCATATCATCAGCCCGCCGAGCGCGGCAGATGGGGGGTTTTCCGAAAATAGGGGAGCCGAAGATAGTACCCTACATAGTAGGATCCCCGTTCTAAGGGCCCCAAATAAGGTATCCCCCTAAACCCTAAACCCTAAAACCCTAAAACCCTAAACCCTAAACCCTAAACCCTAAAACCCTAAAACCTAAAACCCTAAAACCCTAAAACCTAAACAACTAAACAACTAAAACCCTAAAACCCTGAACCCTCAGGCCCGACCCGCGGGCAGAGTTTTCCCCCGGCTCTTCTTGAAAGAGCTGAACTGGGATCAAAGAGCGAGGCACGGACCCTCCAAAAAAAGGGTTTAGGGTTTAGGGTTTAGGGAACATCTCCGGAAAGTTTTTCTGCAACGAGCATAAAGTTTAGGATTATTTTTGTTTCCGCCTTGCAAAGTTTAGGGTTGAGGGTTTAGGGTGTATAGAGGGTGTAGGATATATGGTATTTGGTATATGGTATATATGGTACATGGTAGATAGTATGTAGCAGATAGTATATAGCATACAGTATATGGTATATCGTCTGTAGTGTTCGTAGAAAAAAAGTAACATCTCTGAGAGGTTCCGCTCCATGCTCGATGAGGTGACACGCAACGACCAGGGCATGGCGTCGACATGACGAGACACCCATGGCTTTTCTGACAGCAGACGCTACGGTACCAACTTGTTTGGGCAACACCTATTGTGAAGCTTTGCCACAACTTCCACACGCCCTGAAATCTTATTCCGACTTGATAGCAAATTCAGTTTAAACAGGCGAACCCCTGAAAGCCCACCCTCTGCTGTCAGGGTGTGCCCATCTCTCGCCTTTGGGACTGGGCCGTGCCCCTCCCAGCTGTCGGCTCAAGCGGACGTGGATCATGGGATCATGGGCTTGTCGCGTTCGCAGTAACTAGTATGGAGGGGCTTGCAAATGCGGCCTTTCAAAACGGAGATGCTTCCTTCTACCATGAGCATATTCATCTTCTTTCATCTTTAGAGCTTCAACTCCATTCAGCCCGCAGCCTCAGGTCCCAAAAACTCCTTCAGCTCATGCCTTTATATATCAAACCTGTGAGCGCCGCATCTGTTCCGCTTGGATTCCGACCACGAAGTCTGCGTTTGCTTTAGGGTTTCGGCTAGGGCTTCGGCTTTCAGGCTTCCGATCTTCGATCTTTGAGCTATGAACGACGACTGGCAGGTCTCACGAGACCTTCCGCACGTAGGCGCTCGATAACACGAATATAGTCTCAGAACCCACCTGCACGCTGTAGTGTCGGAATCCAACACGCCAAATTCTACCGCGTTCAGCCCGAACTACCACTGCGGGGCACAGTATGTGCAGAAACACACCTTCTGAAGGCATCTTACCTGTCGACTTTGCTTCAAATCATGGCCTTCCCTCGGCAAGTCTCAGACCGTGCAGAACAAGAGGACCAGGTACAAAGGGGCAAGCATCAGCCTCAGACAGCGCCGGCAGAAGGTCTTCATATGCATGTGCATGCATGCACATTCAAGTACATGAATGTGTTGGTCGACGTACATGCATGCATGCACACATGCATACATGCATACATGCATACATGCATACATGCATGCATACATGCATACATACGTACGTACATGCATACATACATACATACATACATACATACATACATACATACATACACACATATATACATACGTACGTACATACATTACATACATACATGTATACACACATACATGCATACACAAACAACTAATGCTGCTAATGCACCTGCAAAGCATATGTATATCCGTGCATGCACATGTACATGCTAGGTACATACACACGCACATTTTACACATGCATAAGCAACTGGAACGAGAGGGCATTGCCACAACATACATGTACAGGTCACACACCCCTACACACACATGCATGCATAGTACACATGCACTATGCAGACACATGGACACATTTATGCAAACTCGCACTGATTAACTTAGTAGCGTTCTTTCATGCATTGCTCAACAGCACCTGCATTCCCTGAAATTCCAACAGTGGCAGAAACGTGAGGGGCATCGGCAAGTTCTTCGCCAGCTGCCCTGATGATGATGGGGATCTGTGACTCCCGGTTCAGCGTAAGAAGCCCAGGGGCTTTAGGGTCTAGGAGGTTTAGGGTTTAAGGTCCACATCACCCCCGAGCTCCGGGCGGCCTCAAGCGAGCCGAAGCGCCGACCACGGCGAAGGTGACGGAGCCGGTCAGGTTCGCCTCCCCAGGTCGAGGGATCTACAGGGTTTTTTTGTTCGAACGCCTTTTTCCATCTAGCGGAGCATCCACTATCCAGAATCTACGTCAGTGGAAGGCACATGTCACAACCCTTCAGCCCTTCACTTGTTTAGGGTTTAGGGTTTNNTTAGGGTTTATTAGGGTTTAGGAGTTCTATACTTAGGGGATCTAACAGGGTTCCTGTAAGGGGTCCTAGAAGGGCTTAGGAATTCAAAAATGTCCAGTCGGCGAGAAGTCTTGCGAGACATGTTACCAGCCTCCATGCTGTACATGAACCACCTGTCCTTGCCAGCATTGAGTTTTAGGAGGCAGCAGATTCTACAAGAAAAGATCTCAGGTGCACAATCCGATTCCTAACAAAGTCAACATAAGGCTCACAATCCTTGGCCTTGTAGTCTGCAAACGACTACTCCACATAACATGTAGCTGTCAGCGACACTAGTCAATGACAATCTCCTCATCTCAGACATTCCCTGGCACCCAACATCAACTCCATGCTGACGGTTCTGTCACTGAACTGTGGCTACTGAGGCTGTTATCACCAGTCCTTTGTCCCGACGTGGTCCAAGTCAAAGCCTGCGCTTGAAACTTTCAGGGGTTGCATTCAAAACCTTATGGTTTGCTGTCCTTTCTGCAAGGTACAGAGGCAAGGAGCTGCAATTCCGAGCTGGGTGTGAACAGGTAAAGCTGTTTCCTCGAGCAGACAAGGGCCTGGTAGGTACAACGACACAACGCGCAACTAGCTGCGTAAGTTCGGGAGGCTTTGTAGTGGGGACCGAACGCAGATGAATACGTCGGCTGGGAAATTCCATCTTGGTGCAAACTCCGGGCAGCCGCCTATGTTCAACACCACGCCATCGGTTCCCTCTCCGTCGCAGGCATCTCCTGACCCAAGACATGGCGTGGGGCTATCTTGCAACAACGTCTGATGGTGCTTTCTGTCCCCCCCCCCTCCCTCCCCCCCTCCG